AAAAAAAAATTAGAAAAATACGCATAGTTCACAAATATTTTTATAGGATAAAGATTAATCAAAATAATCTGGATGGCTTGCCTAAAGGGATGATGAGCCAAGAGCAATGGCAATGTTTTTTTTTCTACCTTACCGGCTCAATAGTCAAGTTGGTTAAGACATAACGTTTTCACCGTTAAAGGCGGGGATTCGAGTTCCCCTTGAGCTTTAGCCTATTTTAAATTACTTACCAAATTGCCTTGTATTGAATAAAAGTCAAGGCGGGATAATGTAAAAAAAATCATCAGGTGTCTTCAAATTAAGCAGGAAACACTGCAATAACAACATTTTTTTTGGTTATGATTCAAGCTTCAAAAATTATAGGAATTGGACTTGCAACAACAGGTTTAATAGGGGCAGGTGTATTAATATTAGATGTTCTAGTCTTCTTTGCTTTGGAAATAAGTACTATTTGACATATTCTAACGAGTGTATAATATTATTTCTGAGGCTAACGTATTTGTATTTGGTTTCGAAGGGCTAGCTTTAAATAATATTATGTTAAAAAGATGGGGAGGGGGTTGAGCTCATGTTTCCATTGCTGGTGACCTAGCCCAGCCGGTATTATTAAGTATAAACTGTCGTTAGATCCCTATTTTATAACTGGTTTTTCAGACGTAGTGGACTTTATTGCTCCTGTCTCCTTGTCCTCCTATTATATAAGAGCAAGCATTGCTCCCTTTAGGCAGCCTGTGTGATGGCTCCCTTTAGGCTAGACAAGCCTTGCCAACCCACTTCGTTTAGTTTATAAATTTTAGAGTATTGGTATATAAAAGATCTGCTTAAAATAGGGCCTTCATTTCCTTTTAATCCCCTACGGTTGGTTTGTGAAGCATGAGCCAGGAGCAATTAATTATTCAAACCAGATTATAATATAGCAAAGGATGCGGACCCTTATGTTAGGCCGAATATGTTCAGTACTGAATTAATCTTGTATTGTTATAGGTGCAGCAAAGTTCGTAAAAACATTACACTCGCTCCGTCGCTTTGCTACCGAAGGTTGGATGAAAAATAAGTGCTTCATTAACAGGTCATAAGGGCGATACTAAATCTATTTTACCTAATGTAAGAAAAATAAAAGTATTATATTAAGAATTAAATACTACTACTACTACTTATTATTCAATTAAACAAGCTGTCGCAGCCTTAAATATTACATATTAAATTATTTATCTATATATTATTTGTAGCTAACAAATACCTTACTTGTGCTTTGCACAAGAAGTCGGATGATATGTTTTTACCCTCTAAGCGTAGCTTAGCTTCGCGGGTCCCATTTTAGAAAACGGGGGGGGCAAAGGAAAAAAAAATTATAATTGTTTCTACTTAAGTATTCCGTTTAGCTTCTCAGATACGTTTATTCTGTTTCTTCGTCATTTGTAGAAAGGGGCGGAGCATTGTATTGCTCCGCATGCACCCCACCAGGTTTATGCCAAAATTTAAACCTAAATTCATACATAGGGTATAGCGGATTAGTGTAGTAGAAACATAATTGGCTCATGCCCATTAGTGAAGGGTGCAAATCCCTTGTCCGCATTTTTTTTTACATGGGGTGCAGAGCAATGCAATGCTTGCTCTTGTATGTCCGAAGGACAAGGATACAGGAGCAATGGAACCCACTTCATTATAAACTGGCTGGCTTCGCCCTCCCTCTTAGTGTAGGCGGGGAATAACCAAAAAGGCTATAGCTTAATTGGCAAAGCAAGCTGCTCATGATAGCTCAGATGAGTGTTCAAGCCATTCTAGCCTTAAAATGATTGATTTCTTCCAAGATAACAATGCTAATTTCTACAATCTATCCAATGATTCAACTGCTCCAAAGTCTGGTCGTAAGCATTCTCCATAAACTTTAATTAAGATAAGTGAAGCTATTAAGGGTATGCAAGCAGGAGAAAATAATTATAACTTTGGTAAAACTCATAGTGAGGAGACTAAATCTAGAATTTCCGATGCTATGTCAGGAGAGAAAAATCCTTGTTTTGGGCGAACGGGTGCAAACAATCCAATGTTTGGTGAACCTAAATCAGAAGGAGCAGGTAGACTCTCTCAAAGGCTAGAAGTTCTGTATAAAAAAAACTAATCTTACAACTACTTTTGATTCTATGAGTGAAGCTGGAAAGCTTTAGATATTTCTTTTAAATCTATTTATAAATATATTAGCAGAAATCAAAAAAAACTTTCAAAAACAGATATATTTTCCAAAAAGTCGGTTAATTGGGATTTCTTTAGGCTGCGCAAGCGATGCTTTTTTTTT